TTTGCAGGTAAAAAAGTAGTCTTATATGCAGGAAAATAAGGTAGTCTTATATGCCAGAAAATAAGGTAACTTCTGAGCTCCAGATCTGGCGAAGGACATAGTAGTAGGATGCCTGTTATCCATGTCTGTGGTTCTCTAAGGTTTTCCTGTTGGAAAAACATGCAAACTCTCATCTCTCTTTCTCTCATTCAAACTAACCATGGGATTTACATCGCTCCCCCTTTGAGACTAACAGACATTCTCTCAAGATTTTGTCCTGGCCTATTGGGTCATCTTTCTCTCTCAACTTTCTTTGGAAAGATGATGAGATAAAGATTTCTCTTTATCTGAACTATTCACTAGCTAGATTATAATATAGTTTTTATGTAAATATAGATTAAAGCCTTTAGTAAACTTTTGTTTAAACCACAGTCTACGTGTTTCTTGTTTTTGGAGTCAGTCTCAGTTCTTATGGTAGCACAGTTAGACAAAGTTAGAAATTTCTGCTACTCTGTTATTTTAAAGCTAGACCCTAACAGGCTTGACCTTGACATTTTTTGATATTTAAATATTTTAATGTCCTTACCAAAGGTTGAAGCCTTAAGAAACTTAAATTACATTACTCTACATTTCCTCTGGCAGAAAATTATTTTCCACTGTTTGCTGCTGCCTGATCTTTTAAAATGGATCTGGTAGGGTTTGAAATGGGGATCTTCTGTCTGCAAAACGTGCAAGTTTTGTTACTGAGCTGCAGTCTCTCTTTTGCAGTTGGAGGTATCCTGCCTCAGAAAATGGATGACATGCAGCACAGCTGTTGATGAATTGTGTGTTGTATGAAAACATGTTTCATGTTTGTGTGTGTCCCCTCACACCTTCAAATTGCCTGTCAATTTATGGCGACCCCATTAATTTCATAGAGTTTTCCTAGGCAAGGAATACTGAAAGGTAGTTTGCCACTGGCTTCCTCTAAAATACAGTCTATAGCAGGGACTGGCAACCTACGGCCCGGGGGCCGGTTAAGGCCCCGGGCCCCGGACTTACTGGCCCAGGCCGAAGGTTGCTGTCGCTACTGCGCGCCGTCACCGAGGCACATTTTTGCCGCTTTGTGGACGCGCTCGCTGCGCTCGCCGTTTTGGAAATCAAAATGGTGGCCGCAACGCGTTTGCGCATGCGCAGTACTCTTGCACATGCGCAAATGCGTTACAGCCACGATTTGGACTTCCAAAATGGCGGCCGCGACATGTGCCATCATGGCCGTGGTAGTGACCGCCGCAGCAGAGTGCGCGGGGGGGTCGCGCGAGGTGATGGAGGGTGTGCATGCGCATGTGAGTGCGCACACCGCCATTCCCCCCCCCCCTCGGCCCAGCCGAGACCTGGGCTATGGGAGACCGGCCCAGGTCTCAAAAAGGTTGCCTGCCCCTGGTCTATAGTATCTGGTATTCACATCCAAGTGATAGATAACCAGGGCTGGCCCTGTTTTGCTTCCAAGATCAAATCTAGTTTTGTGCCTTCAAGGAATTAGGTGAACCTGATTCCTTTGGCTTGCCCTGAATCCACTGCCAGTTGACTTCCTAGTGTGGTTTGACGTACAATAATTTCTTCCTTTCCCCCCCCAAAGATTATGTGTCAAATGCTACTGTTGGTATGCTGGTATCTATTATCTGTGTATTTATTTTATAGCTCATCTTTCTCCAAACAGGACAGCCAAGATGGCTTACAAGAAAGGTCCAAAACACACTGTAGAAATAATCCAGTTTGAGATTGCTTTTAACTAACTGCCCTGGTTCAATGCTAAGTAATCCTGGGAATTGTAGTTTATTGTGGCTCCAGAGAAGGCTAAATGTCTCACAAAACTACAGTTCCCAGAATTCCCTAGTATTAAGCCAGGGCAGTTAAAGCGGTCTCAAACTGGATTATTTCTGCAGTGTGTTTTGGATCACTGTTAAAAAGCAGATACTGTACAGTTAACAATCTGATGATACAAAAGTAAAAAATAATTAAATGATCTGTCATGTAATTAAATGATTTGTCATGTAAAATAATTTAAAACAGTGGTTCTCAAACTCTGTTCCTCCAGAAATTTTTGACTGTTTAAGGACCTCCAAAGAAGGAGACTCCACCACTCTCTGAGGGAGTGTGTTCCACTTTTGAACAGCTCTCACTGTCAGGAAGATCCTCCTAAGGCATAGGTGGAATCTCTTTTCCTGTAGCTTGCATCCATCGCTCTGGGGTCCTTGTCTGTGGAGGTGCAGAAAACAAGCTGATGTAATATTAAAACTGATAATGTTGTCACATGAGCATGTCATATAAAAACTGCAGACTCTCTGAATTACAGGTACAGTACTAGAATTGACTATATTTCAACTGATGCAATGCTCGAAATGTCAGGACTGAAGGAAAATGTCATTAGGGTGGGCAAGATTATCTTGGAGGTTTCTGTGCCCTCATTTGCTCCCCCCTCCCATTTCTGCACCCATGTTCTTATGACTGTAGCACTTTCTTCACTGGCTTATCATTGTGTTTTGAAGTCTCATGATTGCTAGATAACTGCGAATACATTTTATTTTCAGTTAATTACTGGATGCTGAGTGATGATGGCAAGGCCGATAATTTCCCCTGTAAGTATCAATTCAACAGCTCCTGAAACCTTTGTGGTACTGAACCAGAGAATGAGAGTAGTTGAAGAGCAGACGAATGCACTTCTGAAGGATCTACGGACACTGGATGTGAACGGACAAAGGTACAGTTGAAAAAAATGCTTTGCTGCAGAATCCTGTCTGTGTGTTCATCCAAATGTAAGTTTCCCTGCAATCAGTTGGCCTTATGATCAGAAAAGAGCATATACAATTACAGTCTTAATCTTGTATTTTTATTGATTTGCATTCTCCATTTTTCCTGAGTTTTTGAGTTGGTCTCTCTTCCCATTAATCAAGTGATTAACATCTCTGTTTTAATTTAATTTGGCAAATTTAATCAAGCTTCTGAATAAATAGTGCAACATTTGAGTTGAAGTGGTTAAGTTTGAGGTGTAAATAAAGTAAATGAGTTAATGATGAAAAAGTAGACACCTCATTTCAAATGTGATATGCAGGGGAAAAGTTACACTAAAAACAAGTAGAATGTCTTTTACTAAAAGACATTTATGTTACTAAAATTGCCATTCTCTGAAGGTTGGTATAGATTTAGTGCTGTCATGGATCACAAAGAGCTCTGTTATGTCACTGACAGGCCTACAGCTCTGCCCATCAGCTTTTCCCCAGTGATGGTCTGGTATGATAAACACGCAGCATGTGATCACAGTTATTTTCAGATATGAGCTGTATGATTGTATTTGATGAGGAGAACTTGTCTGAATACAGTGACCAAGATTGGAGGTTTTGCATGCGCTGTTGTTTTTGAGTGAAAATGCCCTTTCCCATGTCAAGCTTATACCAGTGTTACTTAAAGTGATGGTCCATGGATTGGTGCAACTCCACAAGCCATCATCAACCAGTCTCTGGAGAGTTTTTAGAAAAGATTGAATTGTAGCCAATGGTCACACACATGTTGCCAGTCCTTGGAATAGAGAAGAAAAAAATGGTCAGCTCCCTGCATTAGCTAACTTCAGAAACACTGGCTTATGCCACAAGCTGCAAAAACTTTGTCCCTTATTGCATTCAGTACAGGACATTTCTCTTGATTTTTGCCACTTCTTTTCCAAAAACATAAATATATTTGCTTATTGTTTCCCCACCCTGTGACTATAAATTCATGAAATTTGCAATTGCCAGTTCTCTGCTCCATATCACATAATGAAGAAACAACTGTCCATAGTTATGGATAGAACATGAGTGGAGGTGGCATGTATGTTTTGTACAGAGACCTGCAAGTACAGTGACC